CACAACAGTCCAGCACTCTATCCATTGAGCTAACCGGGAAGCGGTTATTTCCAGTTATCAAATGTTTATATTATTTTGTGGATTTCTCTCCCTCTGTCCACTGGGAAGATTCCACATCTCACCATTTCCACTCCCATATTTTATACCCCCCAACCTTCAACTCTCCTTTGTAACTTTCCTGTCCCCATCCATGGGTCAGCCATGATCAGCCAGTTATTTTGTGGTGGTGACTTTGTTTGTTTAATTTTCTATTACAGTTGGACCTCGATTATCCAGGCTCATAGGCACTTGGGTAAATAGTCTGGATAATTGAGAGTCCAGGTAATCAAAAAGTATGAATATTAATGAGACAATAATGTAAACAAAAAAAGTAAAGTTAACACATTTTAATTTCTAAAAGTCTGCTTCAATGACCCTCCAAGTGCTAGATATTTTGAAAGTGAGAAGGTAATGCGCTGTTTTAAATAGACTTTTCCTGACTCTGAACATCATCTCTGAATTTTTTACCTCTTTAAAGTTCTGAAAATCAAAGCTCATTAATATTCATGAAAAAAAAAACCAAGAACAAGTCAGGATAATTGAAAAGTCTGGATAATCAATATAATGGAGGTTCAACTTTAGTTTTTTTTTTGTCCAGCTCTCCATCCTAACACTTTATGCTTTGACGCATTTTGTCCCTCTAATCTTCTCTATCTTTTTAGTCCCCTTATCTCCTATGCTATACCATGACCCTTACAGTGAACAGCCATATCAGCCAAGTTTAGGAGTTCATGCTTCAGACTCATATACTGCTTTTTTAGTGTTCCAGTATGCTTATAACTGCTTCATTTGCAATTCTTACAGAGTGACCTTACCCGTGACCAAGACAACATTCTAGACAGTTTAAAAGACTGGATGTACCGCATTGTAGGCTGGGATAGGTCGTCAGGTCGTCACGGTCGCCTCCTTCCCATGTGGACGTTAGTACTTCCCACAGTTCTTCACGGCCTGCTTACCTACGTGTTAGGTACATTGATTCAACACTTGGTATTGTTTAAATTGAAGGGCAGGGGCATCCACAAGTCACCTGACACAGACCTTACATCATCAGACGAAGAACCTCCAGGCCCCACGGATATGACCCACACCTATTACCCAGAACTTGTGGCCAATTTTTTAGCGTTTTTTATCCCCGAGTTTTTGTTGTATCCATTGGAGACGGTTCTTAATCAATTGTATGTCCAGGGTACACGGACCATCATCGACGATCTTGATACTGGTACCGGCGTGGTGCCGCTATGTACAAACTATGATGGTATGTTGGACTGTTTTCGCTCCATCTGGCGGGATGAAGGCTTTGGAGGTTTCTACAAAGGCTTTGGTGCGTTACTGATTCAGTTGTTTATACACTGGCTCATTCTAAAGCTGACTCAGTTTGTGTACAAAGAAATGTCGCAGGATGTTAAGGGCAAATGACTTAGGACCGATGCTAACTAATGTACTTGTGTGTCTTAAGAAATGAAAATCTTGGTTATGATATCTTAATTTTGGGGTCATTGTTTGTACAGTTGATGTCACACAGGACTGTTGTGGATTTGTGGAGAACAATACGAGCTTTGCAATGTTCCCCTTTCTCTCCTTGGTGTGAATTTGGGAAGTCTGATAACTATTATTACTCCAAAAGCTTTAATTGTTGAACATCTTACTGGAGTTAAACTGCTTTTTTTTCTATCTTCTAAACTGGATCTTGTTTAGTTACTTCCGACTGGTTTTGCTTAAGATTCTCAGTGGATAGAGAAGTTAGCCAAAAATCGAGAAAGAAATTTATTGTAGTGTGCCTAGAAATGATTCTTCAACACAATAAAATAGCATCTATTTAAAATAAGAGTGGTTGTCATCAATTATGAACCCTGTACACTCTGACACCAGTGTGTATATTCGCTTTACTGTTCTCTAAACGTCTCCGAAGTGCTGACAAGGAGAATTTGTTTCGCAATCCAGAGCTTCTTTAGTTGGTGATCAATACAGTTATTCTCACGACCTTTGTTTGATTAAGGAGTGATACAATGACTGAAATGAGAAATTAGATGCTAAGGATTCTCAGGGTTAAAGGGATAAACTTTTAGGGCCGGTTTTTTACACAAAGTTTGGCCATTGTCAAACTAAACCGTGATCGAAACTATTCTGATGGTGCCGTAGATCGGCAAAAGCTCGGAAAACTAAATTATCGCAGCATACCTGGCCTCACATGATTTACAAGTCTGACTTTATCTTGAATTGAGCTCAATCTTTTATCTGAAGATTTGTTTTTTGTGAGCAGTGTCAAGAGGGCAGAAAGTCAGCGCTTGAATGACATTTGATCAATGAAAACAACACTATTCTAGAGAAAAAGTAAGGCACACTGCTCGCGTAAAACCGCGGTTTGGGTTAGACCTCGTGTAAATAACCGGCACTAAATGACCGAAGCAGATAAGAAGAATCAAAAACACCCATTTTTACGGAACAGTGGTACAAGAAATCCTCACTTATCTCAAATCGGAGGTTATCCTCGCACACGATATTATTCATTGAAAACTATTCGGAACAGCAGTTTGCAGACTTGGTCTGAATGTTTTAATGTAAAACCTACATTTAATAATTAAATAGCAAATATCTCTAAAAAAAGAACAAACTAATGAACAAAAAGTTGGTTTTTCTCACCCATCCGAAGACGAGCTCCAAGTACCACAACCTGAAGAACGTTTTTAACGTTCACCTTACACCTAGGGAGATGTGTAACTTCACGATTTTATCAAATTTATTTTAACTTTTTTAAGTCTATTTTTGTTTCAAAAAGAAAAAGTAATAAATAAAATATTAAGATAAATACGCCTTTTTAACAGCGAAAGGCAAATGCAAAATGTATCAACCTAAACGACTATCACGACAAAATAATTTCCCTCGTCCCATGGAAACTCATCCATTTCATCAAATTGTATCAGGGAAATTCCGGAGGAAAGTACAAGCTTAAAAAATTTTTCTTCTACGAGGTAACAGTTGAACTGTCAAAAACTCTTTATAATGCATCTTTTCTGGTCTATCATGTGACTAGACATCCCGCCTTTAAACCGGTAACAAATTTCCCATTGTTAGGCGAACTAAGTGAGCCTCGTATTTAGTGTCAGATAAAATTCGGTCCCAGGTCATCATCAGCGGAATCTTGTTCCCTGCATAACCGAAAAAAAATTTTTGAGAAAAAGTAATGGTGGGTTTAGATCATCAATTTCGTCGGGCCTTATCTTCTAATTTCAGGACTTGTGCGATGACTAACGATTTGGTAAGGATTTTATCTACGAGCTTGCATTTACTTTAACGAGCAACTTCAGTAAGAACCAAAGTATCAAACCTGACTGCAAATTGACGAAAAGTTGTTCTGCAAGAGTGACACTTGCAAACGTTGCAGACTAAAAAATGGGATGTTTTAACATGAGCATTAAAAAGACTTTTAAAACCGTTTAAAAAGACGTTTTAAGACTTAAAAGTCTTAGTATGTTCAGTTACCAAGCCTACAAATAAAGTCTAGTTGGCGCTACGACACGAGCAGCGAGGCTCCTGGGTTTCGAGTGGCAAGCGACGCGAGCGTGCGAAAGGCTTGCAAGGTTCAAACCTCTTGAAAACTTTCCCGCCAGCTCGAATCTCGAAAGTTACGCTGGCTATCTGATTCTCACCTGATAATTCCGTGCTGGAATGGGCGGTGGTAACGTTTCTTCTTTAGGTTTCGGTGATTTTGGAGACTTGGGTGGGAGAGGTGGGGGCACATCATCATCATCGTCATTATTATTATTCCTTTCTACGTCACGGAGAGCAACATATCTCTTAAAGAGAAAGTAGATATTGTGAGTTTCTACGAGAAAATAACCAACGATCAAGCGTTTTTTTTTTTTGCGGGGGGGGGGGGGAGGAGAGAGGGGGAAGACCGATGATGTAGTAGTGCAAGAGAAAGAAGTAACGAGGGCAATCTCCACCGCCAACTTTTGCGTTGCTAAAGCATTGCACGTCCCCCCCCCATAAAAAACAAACAAACAAACAAACAAACAAACAAAAAAGGAAAAAAACTGCTTGATTGCATATTAATGATAACTAAATAAGAAAGGGTAAATAATGAAGGTATAGGGTACACAAAGACTTGGAGAATAACCTACCTTATCCTCTAACACTTGGATTAGTTCCACATAATCTACTTCTTCTTGCGACTCCTGTGAAAAGGAATACATATGTAAATAAGGAATGATAAAAGTAGCTAGAGCAGAAGAAACGAAAGAGAAAAAAATCACTTGGAATAAGGTGAACGGGAAGTAAAAGCAAAAGGTGGAGTGGATGGGGAGGAAGAAAATGCCATTAAGCTTTTGTCTCAAGCTTTGATGGTGTTCAGTGAATAAATTTGTTTTCACCCTAAAATCAAAATGCACATTCTCCGTACAGTTCTCTACACATTTCTTTAGGTGCTGACAAGGAGAATTTACTTAACAAACAAGAGCTTCTTTGGTTGGTGATCGATCATTTTCTTTAATTATTCTCGTGAACCGGCTTAATGTGTAATTCAGGGGTGATATTACAACTAGAACTAATCAGATGGTAGTCGCTTCTAGGGGTCAAAGGTTTATGATTACGATAAATAAGTACACCGTTAGCTCACTTGCAGGCGGTAGTTTGTGTTTTCATGCGCAAGACTCAGCGCGGCGAATGTTCGGTCGCTATATTGGACAGGTGGTAGATTAGGACAAGTGACAAAGAGAGGGGGAGGGGGAGGGGGAGGGGGAAGAAACAAGTAATCACTTCAGTGTGGCTTACCTGTCCACAAGGTTCAATAAGAACGTCTCCCTCTGGATTTATGGGTTCCTTTTAATTGAATTGCAAATCAAAAAGAAAAAAGAAAAAAGAAAAAGAAGAAGAAGAAAAAATGAAAAGTAATTGCCTTTTAAGATTGCCTTTTCGTAGCCACGAGAGGTCGTTCAATGATACTTTTGATTGTTTTAATTACGTTATAAAACATTCTCAGTGAGGTTCCGAGTCTGGAATTGAATCCGCAATGGATGATTAACACTCTTCGATTGAATGTCGTCAAACCAAAACCAAAACAATAACAACGGCCAATCAGAAGACAGGAAAATACCTTAAAGTAAAAACAACCAAACTGCCAAAAGCGCGGGAAAACGCGGGCGACAGTCGTGATTGGTTTTAGTTTTAAAACTGATTGGTTGTTGAGTGTTTTCTGAACCAATCACTAAACGAAGTAAAGCAAAACGTTACGTTATTGCTTCCACCTTCCACTGGAGAAGAATTTTGTCAAAGGACTTGACTAGGTTGAGCTCTTAAGAGAGCGATCGATGCACTATGCAAGTGAGAAAGGAAAACTTCACAGCATATGAATGAATGACCAAAGCGTTGCATATACCTTTTAATGCACACTGACTATTTCTTAAACAGGTTAAAGCATGTGTTATTACCTTTTTGTGTACACTGACCATTTCCTTCAGAGATTTGTAGACTCGCCGCATTCCAACAATAAGAAACTTCCCAGAGCGAGTCTGGTCAATCATGTAATGCTTACAGCGGCCCTGTGCCCTAAAAAAAAATCAGTAAAATACAATGCAAAGAGGCAGTAAAAACGTATACGTAAGACTCGTTCTGTCAGTTTTTCAATGAGCTCACCTGTATGACAAAGTGTAACCAAACCGGCTTTCACTGACTCGGATTAAGAAACAGCCAACTGGCTTGTTCGATAGCAAGCGCTCAGATTCCCTGAAAACAAAAGCACACATGTGAACTTGTTCTTGCCAGATGGAAAGCCGACTGCGTGAAAAGAGGGTTGGTTTGGGAAAGATCGTCGAATAAAATTCTCTTTTTTGAAAGGTGTTTTAAAAGACCTTAAAAGCCTTTTTCAAAGGCGTGGGCACTTAAAAACTCTGAGAAACCCATGCCATGACGATGTGAAGTCCGATGACAAATCAAGCTACATAAAAACTATATGCAGTCGGAGTCTTTACAGGGAAATCAAACTTTTCTGAGGGAAAAAAGTAGATTGGGCGATGTAACCAACCCATGGACTTCGATCCGCTACATTTTTTTTCTTTCTTTCACTTATATTAAAAAAAAAGTCCACGAGAAGAATCGATATTTTGACGCTGTAGGGTACCTAGTATTAATATGTACTTAATGACCATATGAGTGGAAGGGTCTGACAGGAAAATAATTGACTCGAGATCATCACACACGGACCATAACACACGGACCATAACCCATAACGCACGGACCATAACGCAAGGGCCATAACACACGGACTGAGCGCACTTTACCATGCGTCATGGTAAAGTCGGTAATCGAGCCTAATGGCCCACCCAGCCGGAGCTCATTCCGGTTTCGTTAGCATGAAGTGACTAGGAGTATTACCATTCCCCCCTCCCCCCCCTGGATGGGATACTAGTTCATTGCAAGGCTACTTCTCCAGCGTTTCATTGGGCTTCCTTTACACTGCCAGGTGGAAAGAACCACTGTGAGAGCATCATATGACCAAAAAGAGTCGAAAATTTCGGATTAGGAATAGAAAAGTAATTTGTAATGACAAATTAAGAGTCTTCAATACTTTTCGGAGAGAAAAACTCCACTTTAGTACGTGGCTTTAATTGTTATAAGTAAATTAGACACAACCATAGGATCTATTTCATGAATGTTGGTTACCTCCTAGAAATGATTCCGTGAAACCATTTACTAAACCCTCCACTCTCGTCCTGTACAACTCCCTTGGGAACCTGTGTCTCTTGAAACCACTGCACGGCACTACAAGACAAGAAATATCCACTTGTTAAATTTCCCCAGCAAAACCAAGAGGCCCTTCATCTAAGCCACAACTCTTACAGGGAAACAGGTAACTTCGCTTTGCTTTTGAAAGAATGACTTACTACAAGAAAGCTCTCTGTTATAAAATCATTTCGTTTGATATCCATGTTTATTTGCTTCAATTTACAAATCTCCGGCCTTATAATGCGCATATATTTACAATTATTTGTGTCAGATGTACCATTATATGCTTTGGTAGGGGTTGGGTAAAAAAGGCCAAAATCGCGAAACAAACGGACTGACAGACAGACTGACTGACAGCCAAGCAGAGGTCAGAGTGAAAAACAAGCGGCACTTAAGGTCTTAAGTTTCTAGAGAAACTGTGGTGCTGTGTCGGTGGGGAAGTATGACAAGATAAATTTGGTTTAATCAACTGATTTGATATTGTAAACTGGCCACCGTAAAGAGGTTCTAATTTGACGTTTCGAGCGTCAGCCCTTCGTCACAGCGAATGGAAACTTAGACACTTAGATAGACAGAGAGAAAGAGAGACACAAATCGATTGATAAAATATGTGGTACATACGCTTCTTTGTTGGCCACACTACCAAATGCACTCTTGATAGGGTGGGGCTGACCAATAAACACATCTTCTTCATCTTCCATGTCGTCCGTGAGAAACTCGTCCTCTATCTACAAAGATAAAATCAACAAACCGAGCGGTAAACAGGTCCCGTCTTGTCGACGCAAAATAGAGTATATTTGGGTCTAAAGTTCAACCTCCTTTAAGGGTGTGTGCACATCGTTGGGGTCAGATTTGATACCATACTTACCATCAGATACTTAGATGAAAAGAAATCGGGGGCTGGAGAAAAAAAAAATTAAACGGCCTAGAATATGTTTTTACCATGTCGTTTCTAGTTTCTAAAAGTTATGTTCCGATGTGTTGAAAATTTTGAGGAATGAAAAACTTTTACGTGCTTCTCGTCTAATCCTCGTCGTTGCATACCTCTATCTCATCAAGTGACCCGTGACTTTTCCTCGGAGACAGTCCAAGAGCTTCCGGTGGGGGTGGCGGAAAGTAATCTTCGTCCTCCTCAGGGGGTGGAGATGGGAAATGTAAGCCAATGTAATTCAATGTTTTCTTCCTTAGGATTTCTACAACAAAAGCAAGAATTCAAGGTTGAGTTTTGAATTAGTTTTAATAGAATCACGCATAGCTTATTGATAAGATAAAAATCAAAGATTTCCAAACTGATGAAAGTTCTTAGTAGTAGTTCCTCTGAGGACAAAAAATTGCTCAAAGAACAACAGAACATGTCTCTATTGTTCGCCTAGAAAGTTAAGTAGAGACGGACGTTCTTAATACGTCGACTGTAGATATATTACAACCATTTGTGGTTCGCTTTGCCAAGATCTTGCGCATTTAAAACTATTAAAGCGGTACAGACCAAAAAAAATCTGTACACAGCTCTGGGGGAAAGGGATTTAAAAGGTTTGGTGACTGAAAACTTCTCAGCTCTGGCGATAGCACTTTCATTTTCCACTCTTTTGAACTAAATATATTCCCAGTAGAAAGATGTTTATCTTTACAAAATATCTGATGTCTCCCTCCTCTACCTTCTTTTTCCTTGTTATCTTGTTGCATTAACTCCTCTTGTTTGTGATATAGTTTGTTTCCGAAAGTGCCGGAAAGCTGTAGGAATGTTGCCGTTTTTCTGGAGTTCATCATAGCGTCCTCTCGGAGTCGTTTATATTTGCGCCTAGCCAGAAAACCGCGAACAACTTGACACAGAACACAGAGAGAAAAAGTCCTATGAGTATTTCCCGTAATTTTAGAATCCCACGGGAACTTATTATACAGTTATAGTCAACGCTCGTGCCAGGTAGATTTAAGATTGTTCTGATAGGTTTTCTGGTAGATATCAAGCCGGTTTGAAGAAAGGAGTACTTGTTGCATCAGGGGCACAAAAAGTAAACCAAATAGAAAGTTTCACCTTTCTTCATCAAAGTCTGGGATTTGCTCTTCTAGCCGAGGGTCTCGGTCAAAAGGTTGATGGAGAAGCTTACAATTCATGTCTATGTGGGACAAAATCCCGCAGATCGTCGCTTTTGTTTGAAAATATTACAATGTTTAAATTCATGATCTATCGCAAAAACGAACCAAAAAGAGACTTCGCCCCTTCTACATGAACTTTCTCCTGCTCCTGACAGCACATTGTAATTGAAAACATAACCTTGTTCAGAGTTCGACCCTCGGATTCTCGTATCAGAGCGCTTAGAGTCTTAGAGATTTAGCCCTACTGCAAGCTCAACCCCCACCCCCCCCCCCTCCCCAGCCCTCCTTCGACCTTAGCGAATTCGCCCCCTGAGCTGAAATTGCATGTTCATCGAAAAACATGATCATGATTTTGATTTCGACAGAAGAGGTATAAGTTCTACCGTAAGAATACGAATAGAAAGATTTAGGGCCAAACTAGTTAAAGCGAGAGCGAAATATTTTTCCTCCAAGCTATGTGAACTCGCTAAGTGGATAAAAAATGAAACTGTGGTCAGTGGGGCGAAACTTTCATGTAGCCGGCGTCTCGGGAGTCTTCGCTTGCGTATTGTTATATATGTTTTGTTTCTGCTAATGTACCTTTCTGTATGGTAATCACTGCCTCTTGAGCTTTTTGGAGCTGTTCTGCCAATTTTTCTGCGTGCCAGTACTTCAGAAACACCTTCGTTCGTCTGGGAAGTGCAAGAAAATCAAGCAAATCATTCCTATGCCCGTTGTTTATGAAATTAGGTTTGTGATTTATCTATGCTCTTTTCCAATGCGGTTTTTAATGTTTTCACTGGTGTTTTTAATGTTACGATGGTGATGATGTTATATTCGCCAAAACGTCACTGTTGTTTAGTTTCTTCTGTATTCGATTCTTCGTATGTTTGAGTCGTTCCATATCGTGCTATGCGAACTGCGTTTTTATTATTCGTCATTCGAATTATGTTCTTCTAAATCCGGGTCTTCAGATAGCTCGACCGCTAAGGTCTGGCGCGAGTTATAAATTTAAAATTCTGCTCCATATGGAAGCTTCCCTTTCGAGTATCATAAAATGCAAGTGACTTTAACATCATCTCACTGATTGAGTCATTATGCTGCCGCAGACTAATTTAACAAATTGCCGTTTAGAAAATGACGAAACCCCCAAGGATTGTAAAGTACTTTTTTCTCACTCACCCAATCTGCCAGCCATGCAGGTTTGACCTTTTCAAAATTTGTCGACAGCTGGACTCAGTTGTTGGGAGGTTTGTCGTATATAAAACAAGCTTATACCTGAAAAACAGTCATAACGTTAACTTCATCATGTTGAGACTTCGTGTGGGCGCAATAGCCCCAAAACCAGCTTTCAGCACCGAAAGGAATTAACCGAACGTGAAGTTCTTTTTTCAACGTAATTTCAAGTGGGAGAACATAATTATGACGAGAGGCGAGGAGCTAAGACTAATGGTAAACACCAAAGTACAGTTTGTAGAAAAGTTGTAGTTCGTAGCAGAGTGAATAAATTATATCCTGCGTGAACGGGGTTATTCTATTTTTAACAATTATTGCATGAGCGCTCGTTGGATATGAGATGGTAAATAGCGTGTAGTGCTGGGTCGGCTATGACCAATCTTATATCCAACAAGTGCTAATGGAATAATTGTTTAGTACATTTCATTAAATCCTGAACGTTTGGATATTTTGAGCATTTTTCAGCTCCGAAACAGTTGGCGAAATACTTTCCATATAAGGTTACTCGGAATACAAAGTGATAACCGGAGTAAAGTGAACCTATCAGAACACTAGACATACAATGTTCGGAGTTAAAGATTAAATAACAATTAATAAACTAATCTAAATATCTAAAATCGAATTATAAACATCGAAAAACTGCGTAAATAAACTTCCCCCTACTTCTCATGGAGCTTACCTGTCGATGAAGTCAGCAAAAGAGATCCTCAGAGCAAATCCTTCCCTTCTGATACGCGTTGTTTCAAGCACTCCCGTGTAAGCCAGCTAAACAACAAGAAAAATTTTAAGGCAAATAGAAATAAATTTCCATGCACAACAATCTCGTAAATTTGAAACAAAGTAATCCTTGAGCTTTGATTAAAGGGGGTAAGTTTCTAAAGAAACTGTGGTGCTGCGTCGGTGGTAGTAACAATGTAGTTTTGGTTTTATCAACTGAGTTGATAATGTACATTAGACACTGTAAAGAGTTTCAAAGCTGACCTTTCGAGTGTTAGCCCTTCGTCAGAGCGCAGGGCTAACGCTTGAAACGTCGGCTTCAAAACTCCTTATGGACTTTGGTTTGTTTTGTTTGATGAGTTGCCCCACTCACGTAAAACAACACCTAACCTTCTTTACCTGCTCTCTGACGTATTTTAGGTCAAAACTGTCCGAAATCTGCAACAAAAAGGGACAAAATAATTATTTAAACTTGGTAATACTCGAGGCGAGATTGTTAAAATCAACTGGGTTTTGTTGTGCTTAAAGTGAGTAACAAGTGCTGATGATGAGG